AGATGAGCCAAAAAAATGATTCTAAAACCAGCAAGGCCAGCAAAATAAGAGAAGAACCTCAGGGTTGGTGCCCTAAGACCAAGAGAAGTACCTTCTCAAGGAACTTGGGTAATTCAGTGAAGGTAATGGGGACTTAATGATAAGCTACGAGAGGTGGAAGCACCAGGAAGTGATGATAAGAGGCAGTACCCAGGCAGCACAGAAAAGTGCCCTGAGGAATTGGTTATAAAAAGGAGAAAAATATGAGCATGTGTAGTCTTAGCAGAGAGAAAGAGTAGCTTATTTCTCTTTCAGTACATTTATGTGTCAGGTAGTCGAATGGAATTGAGATGTTTTGACGAGGTCAGCATCCCATGCCTAGGTGTATTGTTAAAAGCTTCTCCATGGGCAGCCATTTTTGACCTTCTCTTCTGACAGAATTACAGGAGGCTTGGCAGTTTCTTAGGCTCACCCCTCAGATTATAGGCTAATGTAATCTAGAATACCTTAACTTGGTTCAGAACATAGTGTCACTGTGGGGTCCTTTGATCTCCTGGAGTAGACAATTTCAGAGTAGCCAATTTCTATTTTTTTCAAGTGGAACATTTTTTTTATTGTTCAATAATTTCATACATTCACATAATGTATAGTGATCAACTCCCCCAGTCTCTGTCTAATTCCTCTCCTGCCCCTTCTCTCACTTTCCTTCCTGTCTTAATACTGTTCCATTGCTATGAAGAGACACCATGACCAAGGCAAATCTTACAAAAGAAAGCACTTACCTGGGGACTGACTCAGTTTCAGAGGTTAATCATTATCATCATGGCAGGAAGCATGGCAGCATGCAGGCAGACGTATTGTTGGAGATGTAGCTGAGAGTTCTACATCTGGGTCCACAGGCAGCAGAGAGAGACTTTTGCTTAGAGTGGGCTTTGAATAATCAAAGCCCAGCCCCAGTGACACACTTCCCCCAACAAGGCCACACCTTCTAACCTAATAATACTTTCAAACAGTTATACTCTCTAGTGACTAAACATTCAAATATATGAACCTATGGGGCAATTCTTCTTCAAACCACCACACCTCCCAACTTTATGTACTCTTTTGAAACCCACTAGGTCCACTAAGTGCTGCGTGTATGCACAAGGACATAGGACATGTAGTGGAACCATGGATAGCCACTCAGGTGCCAAATCCCTGTAGAAAACCAGCTGTCCACTTACGGCAATCATCAATTGTCAATAATTGCCATCTTAACTATCATTCTCAGGTCTCTATCTTTCTCAAATGAAAACAATGCCAAAGAATTCACTAAGCTTTTTCATATTTCTTGTTAGTACTTAAACAAATCTTTCAAACTAACTTTACGTTATCAAAAACAAAGATGATGTTTTTGCATTTCTTTGATGAGTTACTTTTTAAGGTTTCATCACTTCTATTTGAATGTGATTTTAAAGTTTTAAAATATATAAATATGTACATTACAGTAATTATAAAAAATAGATCTGAAACTAAGTTATGGTAGAAAATTGGAGCTCAGGGAAATTGCTTTAAGAAAGACAACAGAGCTGATGGTTAACTGAGGGAAGGTGTGAGCCTAGGTCGACTCCTGACTGAATGTGTGTCCTGTGCACAGTGAGGTTTATCTTACACACCTGCAATACCAATTGTGTTACGTGAATAAGTCATACAGTATCCACAAGCAGGAAAAGCACAAAACAGCCACAGAAGATAAGGGTCAGGACAGCTGTGAGAGTGGCCACTGCTGGGAGATCATGTAAACAGGATTCGGGTCAGTGGGACAGGCCCGCGTGAACAGGGATCTTCACAGGTAGCAACATTATATATTCCTTTCAAGTCACAAGACTTTATAGCTGGAAAGAAATCCTCCCTAGAATCCTTATTTTATAGAGATGGATTGAATGTCGTCATCTTTACTTAGCAAAAAAAAAAAAATGTTATTCACATGTAAGTACCTTAAGCACACTCAGTATAGCTTTTCTGATTGTGTCAGAATAACAATTTAAATAATCTCAGAAGAGTGGAGAAATATTGAATCTATTTTTAAACAGAGTAAAATGCTCATCTAAATTGTTCCAAAAATTTCTGGAATATAAATTTTGCGGGTAAAGCCTTCAATGTATTAGTTATTGGGTACTGGTCTGTAGTTGAATTTTAAAAAGAATACAACTCCTCTCATTCATTTAAGCATTCATTACCATCATATGGCTTGTGAAAGCCAAATAGGACAGTGTAGATTATAGAATTTTGCCATCTAACTGGATGTCAACATGTAGCAGATTGCAAATAGATTCATATCTATCACCATGCACAAAACTCAAGTCCAAGTGGATCAAAGATCTCAATATAAAACCAGTTACACTAAACCTGATAGAAGAGAAAGTAGAAAGTAGTCTTGAACACATTGGCACAGGAGACCATTTACTAAATATAACACCAGTAGCACAGACACTGAGAGCAACAATTAATAAATGGGACCTCCTGAAACTGAGAAGCTTTTGTAAGGCAAAGGACACAGTAAATAAGACGAAATGAGAGCCTACAGAATGGGAAAAGATCTTCACCAACCCCACATTTGACAGAGGGCTGATCTCCAAAATATATAAAGAATTCAAGAAACTAGACATCAAAATAATGAACAACCCAATTAAAAAATGGGCTACAGAGCTAAACAGAGAATTTTCAACAGAATCTCAAATGGCCAAAACACATTTAAGGAATTGCTCAACATCTTTCATCATCAGGGAAATGCAAATCAAAGCAACTCTGAGGTACCATCTTACACATGTCAGAATGGCTAAGATCAAAAGCACTGCAGACAGCTTATTTTGAAGAGGATGTGGCATGTGGCGTAAGTGGAACACTCCTCCACTGTTGGTGGGAGTACAAACTGGTACAGCCACTTTGGAAATCAGTGTGGCAGTCTCTCAGAAAATTGGGAATCAATCTTCCTCAAGACCCAATGATACTACTCTTGAGTATATACCCAAGGAATGCTTAATCATACCACAGAGACATATGCTCAACTATGTTCATAACAGCACTGTTCACAATAGCCAGAACCTGGAAATAACCTAGATGCCCCTCAGCTGAAGAATGGATTTAAAAAATGTGGTACATATACACAATGGAATACTGCTCAGTAGAGAAAAACATTGACATCATGAAATTTGCAGGTAAATGGATTGAACTAGACAAGTATCATCCTATGTGAGGTAACCCAGATTCAGAAGGACAAATATGGTATGTACTCATAAGTAGATAGTAGATGTAAAGCTAGCTCCAGAGAAGCTAGCTAACAAGGAAGACCCAAAGAGAGATGCATGGATCACCCTGGGAAGGACAAATAGATGAGATCTCCCTGAGTAAACTGGGGATGAGGGGTGGGCAATTGAGGGTAGGGGATGGGAGATGAAAACATAAGGGAACAGAATGGTCAAGCTGGAACAGGGACAGAGTGGAAGAGCAATGAAAGAGATACCATGATAGAGAGAGACATCATGGGGATAGGAAAAATCGGGTGCTAGAGAAGTTCCCAGGAATCCCCAAGGATGACCCCTGCTTAGACTACTAGCAATAGTGGAGAGGGTGCCTGAACTGGCTTACCCCAGTAATCAGATTGGTGAATACCCTAACTGTCATAATAGAGCCTTTCTCCAGTAACTGATGGAAGCAGATGCAGAGACCCACAGCCAAACACTAGGCCAAGCTTCACGAGTCCAGTCGAAGAGAGAAAAGAGGGATTCTATGAGCAAGAGTATCAAGATCATGATGGGGTAACCTACAGAGACAACCAAAGCAAACTAGTAGGAACTTGTGAAATTTAGATCAACAGCTGCATGGGACTAGACTAGGCCCTCTGTTTAGCAAGACAGTTGTGTAGCTTTATCTGCTTAAAGGGCCCACTGGCAGTAGGCTTAGAATCTATCCCTGGTGCATGAGCAGGCTTTTTGGAGCCTACTACCTATGATGGGACACCTCAAACAGCCTTGTAGCAGGGGGAGGGGCTTGGACCTGCCTGTACTGAATGTACCTCCCCATGGGAGGCCTTACTTTCTTGTAGGAGGGAGTGGAAGATGGGTTGGAAGAGGGAGGCTGTAGAGGTGGGAGGAGGGAAGGGGAATCTTTGAATAAAAAAATTATTCTTAATTAAAAAAAAAAGAATTTTGCCATCATTGCAGAAAGTTCTAGATCCTAGAGCCTGTCCACTCTGTAAACCATAAGCCTTGCTGGATTCCCACCCCCAACCACATCCATCATCCTAAGTTAAAATCAAGAACAATTAAACTTTGTTAGAGATGCTGACCCAATGTTTAAAGTCATAATTAGGAAGCTAAGTCAGAACTCCACGGAAGAAGGTAAGCCCAATAAGATCTCTACAAGAGAAGGTTGCTACTGTCACAGCTACAGTGAAAGAGAAATGGTGAAGGGAGAGAAGGAGTAGCATTTAACAGTAGTAGAGTGCTTGCTGACACATGTGAGAACCTGAGTTCAAATCCCCAGAACTCATGTAAAGGTAGACGTATTATCACATGTTTGTAACCCCAGCACTTCTACAGAAGATTGAAAGCAAAGTTAGGTAAAAACCATGGACGCTCAAGCTAGGCATGGCATACCCAGTGAAAATTACCAAAGGCTTCAAAGATGTTAGAGCCGGGTCAATTAAACTGAGAAAAGGATGAGTGTGGAGACTAAATGAAATGCATACATTGTCTTTTTGTTTGCAGTTTTTTTGTTGTGATGTGGTGCTAGGGATCAAATCTAAGTACTTGAGCACACTGGACAAGCATTCTACCATTGATTTCTACCCCGAACAAAATATGAAGATTTATGTGTAAAATGACACCAGCAATTCCCTCCATTCTTGTAGAAATATCTGTGGTGGTGGTGGGGGGGGGTGTCTAGGTGGCATTCTGTGTCTGTATCAAGGAAGAATAGAAATATGATTCAGCCAACAATTTTCTCAGTTCCTCCATAATCTCTGTTGATTTTTATTTCAGATCAATGGTGGAGAGAAGCGGCCTGCCTCTGATATGGGAAAAAAACCAAAAACTCCCAAAAAAAAGAAGAAGAAGGACCCTAATGAACCCCAGAAGCCTGTGTCTGCCTATGCTTTGTTCTTCCGTGACACTCAGGCTGCCATCAAGGGCCAAAATCCAAATGCTACTTTTGGTGAAGTCTCTAAGATTGTAGCTTCCATGTGGGATGGCCTTGGAGAAGAGCAGAAACAGGTAAGAAGGGATGAAATGGATGGAATCAGCTTGATTGCAAGCAGAATATAGGGGCTTCAAAAAGAACTTTGGTGAGCACCAGGGAAAATGGTCAGATGCCATCCATAAGCATGACTTAGAAGGTGTCCCACCTAAACCAGACTTTAACAGAGGGCCCTTCAACTTATACTCCCTTCAGACTCTTTCATAAGTAGAATGTTAGTTTCCTTGTTTCAGAGTTTATACAGAATAGCTACTTTTGGAAAGACTTCCACTTACCCCAGCCAGGATTATATCTTAATGTTGCAGTGTGAGCATAGAGACTAAAAGTCCCCCTTTGAAAATTGTCCATGCCTCTCTTCAGCACTCAGATTCACCCTATTGTCATCAAACTCTTTTTGCTCTTTGCAAAATGGACCTCAAGTTTAAAAGCCTCCATCCTTCCCTAAAGACTACCCGGATATGTTATTCAACCCCCCCTCCCACATATATTTTGCCCATGTTTCCAGGCTGTGTTAAGTGGGACCATATGGCTGATTTCCCTGTCTTTACTTATGGATGTCCATGGTGTGACTGAGGGCCATGCTTAGGGAAGGACATGTGAGACATACCAGCAGTGCCATGAGTCACCTAGGAGATCTTGAGGCAGATGAGGTGTAAAGTTTCAGAAAGTAGATGGAGCTTACCCACATGAAGAAGCAATACCAATCTTCTGTCTAAACTAGAGGCTAGATGGCCATTGTCGAAATGGAGAATTATTGCCACAAACATTAAATAAGCATGATAATGAATAAATTATCAACATGACAACATAAACACAGCTATTGTGAAATGAAAATTACTGCACTAATCATGTTTTAGGGTCACATTTGATTCTTGAAAGAAATGTTTGTGGCTCTTCACCATGCCCAGGGAAGTATATTTGAAGTACTTGCTACTCGGGTGTAAAGGCCTGAGTTCAAAACTCGTAAAGAACAGGACTCATATAAAGCCAGAAATGATAGCATTTCTACAGTAAGATGGAAGCAGAAATCGGGAAATCCCTGGAAGCTCAGGGATCAGCTAGGCTGGCATTCACAGCAGATAACAACAAAGAGACCCTGCCACAAACAACTTGGAAGGAAATGGCCAGCACATGAAATTGTCCTTTGACTACCACACATGCGCCTTGGCATGCACAGGACCATACTCGTACAAATTCATTCTCTCTCCCCTCCCTCCCTCCCTCTCTCCCTCCCTCTCCCTCCCTCCCTCTCTCTCTCTCTCCCTCTGTCCCTCCCTCCCCCCCACACACACACATACACACACAGTGGAGCGTGGATTGGAACTTTAAAAAAGAAAACTGTACTGGCTCTATAGGAATCTTAGTTTATGTCTATATATATACTATAAGTAGGATTTACACTATTAAAAGACATTTGAATTATCTCCTTTGTTCTACTCAGTACTCACGGGTCTATAATGAATTGTCCAAAATCTATGAAATAGAGCCAGGAAAATTAAGTTCTCTCACTTATTTAACAAATATTTTTGAGCATATATTTGCCAAGCACTGTCCAGATAAAATAGATTTGGCAAATAAGCAAGACAAATGGGTCTCCACTCTGCTGTTGATCCCTCTGGCTTATGTAGCTGGGACATGGCTGCTCTGAGGAGAACTTGCCATTGAACCTTTCTCTTCCTGACAAACATCACAGCAGTGATGGCTGCAGTGATAAAAGCAGATGCCAAGAAACAGAACTTCCCTCCCATCCCCACCTGCCAACTACTGCTAAGTCAGTTATCCTTCACGACTCGAAATTTCCAATCATTTTACATACCAACCACAGATTCCCCTCTTCCCTCCTCCTGCTCCTCCCCACCAGCCTGCCCCCCAACAACCCACCCACAATTCCCTCCTCCTCCAAGGCAAGGTCTCCCCTGGGGAGTCAGCAGAGCCTGGTACATGCAGTAGAGGCAGGTCCAAGCCCCTCCCCCTGCATCAAGGCTGTGCAAGGTGTCCCACCATAGGTAATGGGCTCCAAAAAGCCAGGTCATGCACTGGGGATAGATCCTGATCCTACTGCCAGGGGGCCTCTTAAGCAGACCAAACTACACAACTGTGTTACTTATGCGGAAGGCCCAGTCCAGTCCCATGGAGGCTTCACAGCTGTCACAACCTGAAATTTCTACACATTTTCTTATGTCTTCAAGATTTCAGGCAGAGGTAATGCCAACAAAACCTTCCCTATAGAGTGAGAGGTGCTAAGAGCTGCCATTAATGGTGGTGAACACACTGTGAGAACCCTGTGCACTTAATGGATGTGGTCTTGTGACTGTAAATAGAGCAAGTAACATTGTATTGTTTAATTCTAATTGAAACCTCACATGATCATTTCAGGATTTGGGAGCCAGTTTCTAGATGGTCCCTAACTCAGTTCAATTTTCTTCCATACTCCCAGATCTTAGATGAGGTTTCCAGGTGAGCATGCAGCTGTATAGGTATCTTCCCTCCAGTCAGCAGGGATTGCTCACTGATGGTCAAAGCACACAAGGATGAGAGAGCCCAGCCCTGTCCCTCTTCTCTGGTCAATGTCACATCCATGCCTACCTATTCTGCTGTTCTGCTAATCCTCCATGTACTCTTGGAAATCCTGAGCATCTACCCTTGTCCTCTACCACTCTGAGATTAAATTTCCTGGAGGAAGTTCCAGAAAGTGCCTTCTCCCCAGGGACTGTGCACAGCAGCTCTCACTCATCAGAAGGAATACATGGTTCCCCTTTGTTCTGCCTTGCCTTCTGCCCTTTCTCAGACTAACATTTAGTCTCCTTTCCTACCTGTCTTTATGGTCCCAGTTGTCCTAAGACTTCCATAGGTTCAAGCTCAGAGTTTTCAAGACAGAGTTAGAAAGACTTTTCACATCCCAGGAGCTATCCTTTGAATTTCCAATATAAAAATAACTGTCTGCACTCTTATTTCTTGTGGATAAAAAAAAAATGTTCATGCAGTCAAAACCAGATAATTCCTAAGACAGCAAGTATAAAGATATAAGTTACATCCATTGATTCTATTACAGTGATGATTTGTTTTTTTAATATAACAAGAGAGGATTATTAAAATTTCTTTGAACATTCTTTTTGCCTAGCTGTATAAGATTAATTGTGTGTGTGTGTGTGTGTGTGTGTGTGTGTGTGTGTGTGGTGTGCAGAGAGATTACATATATGCATATTAGAGATTTTATATATATGCATATGAGAGATTATATAGCTGTAGATATGCATATGAGAGTGAGAGGATTAGAATTGCTATTATCAACTGTCATCTTAAAAGGGGACATTACTCCCATCCCCTACTCTAAGTTTCAGAATAGATGTGATTACAGTTACAATGTAATAGTCAAGACTTCTTAATCAAACACGTATAACATCAAGATTTTTTCCTTCTCTTTTGCATTTTACTTCTCACTTAATAAGTAACTCAAAATGAGTCTCCCCCTGGGTTCTTGCTTATAGAGGTAACTGAGGTTTATGGAGGAGTGTTGGAAGGAAACTGTATTTAGTAAATAAAGAACAGACTTATATAGTAGTTGGACAACATGATTCATATCCTAGAATCAAAATCTACTGACTAAAACAGATTTATGCCAAGATTGTCTAAGAAAATATTTCTATCTTAGGTTTCTTGAAAGGTACAAGTATTTTGAAATTTGAGTACTTGTTTGAGAATTACCTAAATTAGGTGTTGTGAGCAATTTAGGTCACCCTGAGATGGTTTGAGGCCGTGTGTGATGTTCCCTGTTGATGTAGCAGGAATTCAGAAGTGCTGATTCTTTCCATCTAGAGATGCTCTTGCTTAATAAAGACACAGACTGCATTGTTCTCAAATGGCTGGATTACAACACTACATACAACACACATAGGACCCACGCTCATGCCTACATTCAGAGCATTTGGCATCCTTTGGTCCGACCTCTGCTCTGCTGCACCATGGCAGACTGTTTGCAGGAGATGCCAGCGAGGCAAACATGCCTGCCTAAAAGGCACTCTGGAGATCCAAAAAATGTCAAAGTTATCCCAAGGTGTTACGTCTGCTGCATTACCACCCATCCATTCCCTTTATGTTGACTCATTGCGCTGACACACTATAGTATCTGCTTCAAACTTAAAGTAACTGTACTTAACTCTCATTTAATACTGTTGCTCTGGGTTTTCAAAGGAACACTCCTAAATTAGTTTAGACAAGCCCACAGGATGGTTTTGCATTGTGTAGGCAGTTTGGGTAGGAGGTGGGGATTTCATGGGCTTTACTTGCTTGAAAACCCTGTTGCCATAATAGCCCAAAACTGTGAGCGGCTACAAATATAAACACAAACTGGGGGAAATGGACAGTTATCAATGACTTATTAGGGACTCAGAAAATTACAATATTTATGGGAAAACATCATTAGTGAGATTATTATTGAATAATTTTCTGCCGACCAGTAGGAACATGCCTAATAGAGAACTGTGTTTCCATTGCATGCCTGCTCAGTGTGGAGTCCATGCAGGAGTAGAAAGTCAGCACGGAGGTCGGATGGGTCTTTAGTTTTTAGAATCCATGCTGAGCAAGAAACTGTAGGTACTTTGGTTCCACCAATACTCTTTCAAGGAGGAAAAATCAAAAGAAAGCTAATAGAAGTGATAACAACAATTCTCAAGCAACACAGGACCTCCTTCAGGAATCTTTCCCTCCAAAGACACTGAACACACTCGGAGATGGCTCCCTTTGAATACTTGAGAAAACAATACTGAATCTGGAATGCAGAGAAAATTGTGCTTGGGATTCCAACTGGGGGTTTTAAATGCTAATGACTTGCAAGACAATGGAGAACCCATTTCAGAAGCATACCAAGTTGTTTAAAAGGCACCAGATGGAGAAAGGGGATAAAACACAAGTATTGCTGTGATGCCGGGTTTTGCTACTTATCTTTCCCTGACTGGAACCTGCAGAGGAAGAAAAAATAAGTAAACAATACCATCCTCTTGAATCCTGGCTCCCTGGA